TTTCATAAAAAACGGCAATTTCATAGGTAAAGACCTAATATGTCTACGTAACGGGTTATTTTAACGTTATTTTCACCAACTTGTAGACGGCCGTTTGACTTGAAAAGGTACGCTCGGACCGACCGATGACAATACAGTAATTTAATAATTTTATCCTAGTACCCCAATAAGGATCAACAGGATAAAGTAAAATAATCTGTCTAGGATCGATGCGTTGTTTAGATTTTTCCAGTCTAGTATTATTTGATATTGTGTAGTAAGAAAGCTTATTGTCAATCTGACCTTCGCCAAACCGTACTTGACGCCAAAGCCAAAAAAAAACAAAGACGCCATTAAGTTTAAACCGAGTAATACATTTTATGTGGAATATACGATGTGCATATTATATTAATTTCAGTTGATTATTAGATACCAGTCACGTATGACCATTGTCCTCGTCTAACATAATAGAACTCGATCTTGTGACAAACTGTCCATGGACAGAAGTGAAAAAATTCAAAGCTAAGGTAAAGCTTAGATATGTAGCTTATTGAGGTATTATAATTCAACATTTTGAATATAGTATCTGAATTCTGAATACCTTATAGCAATAAGAAGTAACCTCGCCTCGGTCTTGTACACTTGTATCAAGTTAAAATAAAACGCCTTATTGAATTTTGTTTTTTATTCATAAAATACAAAACACTAAATGAAAAATTGTATTGTTTAAAAACGCTATAAAATATCTGTTAGACACTTCAAAAATAAAAGTATCGAATAAATTGATAAACACGGTTTTTAAAACTATACAAATCTCTAAATATTTAACAGAAAAATATAACGTACAATGCCTTAATTAAATCAATAAATATTATATTATAAATTATACTTGGTGGGATGCTGTTCATAAATGACATACCATAATATTTTTACTTAGGGAATCAGACAAAGTACAAGTCCTTATGCAAAATAATTAAGTTCTTCAAATCCATTTTAACATTATACTTAAATAAATTTTATTATGACAATCTTGTTGCAATAAAAACGTATTTATTGAAGCGTGGGAAACCACGAATGATGTTAAATTATTGAACACTGATTTAAGAAATTAAATATTGTTGTTTTTATACCACTAACACTTCTACTAGCAATATTATAGCTTGCAGCTTGACATAGGCTTTATATTATTTATAACAATATTTTAAGTTGCTTCTATTTCTCTTTCCAAAATTGTTTTCCTTTTAAATATGTGATGATTAAACAGTCAATTATCATTATCGGCATATAGAAGTCCACGGCTCTTCATGAGCTTCTCCCGTGTAAAGCTTTTGCCAAAAAGTTTAGTAATATTAAATAACTTTAAATTACACCAGTTATAAATTACAAATCCTCTTACACACAGCCTTCATTCGACAAACTTTATTAACATCAACATTTAAGCTCGTGTATTAGATTTTTTAACATATTCAATATTAGGTATAGTAAATATATCAACTACAAAAATATACTTTTAAATTTCTAGGCACCATGTTACAGATTTTGTTGCGTATAGTCCGTGAGAAAAGAGAACTGTCGCAGCGTTAAAAAAGGGAATCAAAATTTAGATAGTTATTTTATCTTACCATATAAAATCTCGTGTCGCGATGTACGCTCACGCAATCTGCGAAACCCCCAACCGATTTTAAAATTTTGTCAAAGTGTATTGCTAGCTCCAATTTGAGAGAAAACGTAGTTTTTTATTTCGATAATAAAACTTCAATATTGTGGGTATGTTCCGAAATACAACGCTGTGTACTGTCCAATGCAAATGACGTCATGAATCGACGCTATACTGGTGATTCGTTCCAAAACATTGGACAGTATATGACGTCATACTTTTGCGCCATTTGGAAAAGTGTTGGCGATTATTTTGTCATTTTGTGCTCCAAAAATCATTATATCCTCCTAATGGATATACTATCAATTATTCTATAATTTTTTGTATTTGAATAAATAGAAACAAATTCTGGCATGCTTCATTCGGCAAACACACAATTAAAAATTGTTTTAATATGGCCGGATATCCGACGCAATATGGCAGCGGCACGCTAGTACAATAAAGTGTCAAATGATGACGTCATTTGCATTGGACATTACACTGCGTTGTATTTCTGGTTTTTTGCGAGTTTAAGGATTTTTTTTTTGTACAGAGTTGTTCGAAAGGGCAGAACAACGTCTGTCACACCAGCTAGTAGCTTATAAACAGGGTTGCGCAGTATATAAATTTCTTTTAATTAAAATACGCATTTAAAATACAAATACGTATTTGGTATTTGCATTTCAATTACTAACTAGAAATATAATTAGTAATTGATATTTCAAATACCTGACGGTGAAGTATTTTGTAGTTAGAATTTCAAATACTTAGGGCTTCAAAATAAATTTGAAGACAAATACATTTAGAGATCATAATGGGTGTGTTCTGCAGAAAACAGCGCTAGATAACTTTCGTAAGCAAAATGGCGACCGCTAAATATGTCAATTTTTGAAGTTGGCAAAACTGCAAAATATACAATATATTATAGCAGGTTTTATTTATTCCCCAATAAAACGCTTTTTGTCTGATAGTACATTTAAAAATATAGTGTTCATGAAAGGAAATTCTTCTTTTACTGAATAATAGGCTGGATTAGTTCTATTCTATTTACATAACTTAACACCAGACTGTAATTTGTGTTTTAAATAAAAATCGTTAAAGTACTATATTTTAGACATACGACTTAAAATATTTATTATAAATATTACGTATTTTAAATACACGCGCAATAGTATTTTGTAATTTGTATTTTAGTTAAAGCAAATAATGTATTTTGCCCAGCTCTGCTTATAAATATTACGGCGTAATGATTGCATGACACAAACTTTTTCATTTCTCCCACAAATATGTAAAATAACAGCTACACTTGTACATAAAATACCAACTAAAACATGAATATTACATACTAATTTGTGCACTTCTAACTATAGTATATTTCTTTTGATAGCCAAATACAGGACAAATTGAAATTGATAATTGTGATATTTTTAAAGTGATTTCAAAAGCAGGAAGATCCTTAATTACTAGACTGTTTTATGGACGTAACACAATATCTCCAACGCTATAACTGCGATTGCAGATTTTATTTATCAAAAAAAAAAAGAAACTTTCGCCGCCATTCCATATAAATTTCCATGATCCAATAATAATTTGCAAATATAATAAAAATGTGGTTGATAAAACCAGGGCTGGCATGACCTAATAATTGTGAGTTATAACGGTTAAAGGTATGTCGACATATCTTTTTGTGGTCCAAATTTTTAAAATTAAGAGAAATTATTCAATTAGTTCCTAAAAATTTCTTAAATGTCACTGTCAAAACAACAAATACTTTTGGTTACACAAACAGATATTTTTGGTTACCAACATAATTTTAGTTATATAAATTATAAAAGTTACACAAAGGTATGACGATACGCCTATGAAAATAGAGTTACCATTATTTTATTTCGGTGGCGTAACCTCATACCTTAACCGCAATCAAGCCCTGATAAAAACAATTAATCAGAATTAACTAATGTATTGCTTTCATTTCAACTTATTCGATAGTTCGACTAGCATGGTTGGTAGCATATTAAGTGACATTAAACTATTTAAGATAAAAAGCCACGTAGAGATTCGGACCTACGTTTAATCACAAATAGGTAACTTTTAAACGGCATCAACCGCTTCAAATAACTGAGGTAGTTTATATATTGTCATTATTGTGATTATATTGAGACGAGATGAAGCCTATAGTAAAAAAATGTAACCAAAAAGTAAGTACTTCATACGGTAAGTCCCATAAATTACATTTATAATATATTATAATCTTTCCTTATTAATAAATAGATATCCAATAAATATATGTATTTAAAGTTTACTTAATTGTATTCTTTATAAAAACATACTTCCAAAAAAACTGAGATAATTTCCGGCTCAATGGACCAAATTCTGTCCAAAAACTGCTAATTTTCTTAAATAAAATCAGTCGAGTCATATATACAACCGACCTACGATACCTATACTGACGACCGAAGAGTCGGCTTGTTGCCGAATGAGCATGGCTAACATGCTCATTTTTAATGTTTAATTCGATAAATATTTTCGATGTCAACATGTTAAATCTATCAAATGTCTAAAAAAAACAAGTTAGTTATTTTTTTAAATTATAGACCGGGTTTAATTCTCGACCTTGAGCCACCACAGCTCTGAGTAAGTTTTATTATAACCCGGTTGTATACCTTGCCGGCGTCAATGAAATTGTTAATTGCAATTTTTGTGCTGATTTACAACATGCTCGGCGGTGAAGGAAAACGCATATCTAGGATATAAAAAAAACTCAAAGTCATGAAGTTCGCCAACACGCATTGGGGCACCGTGACGGAAATTTTCTGGCCCTAAACCCTCTTAGAAATGTGTGATTTTATGGGTTATATCATTACTTTTACATATTTCATTGCTTTTTTACCATAAATCAGTATCAAATGTTGTGCAGCTCAGCATACAAGTAAAAATCTGTAAGGTACTGTAAATTCTTTGCGTATATCGATCTAAAAATAAATAATTAAAAACTGAATGTAATATGGCTTAACAAATCAGGAGACAAACACCTCAGTACCCATATGACTTAAGTGCAAAGCACTTGAAACATCGACAATATCCGAAAGCGACAGTAGCCTACTGGCAGGGTGCGGACCGCGAACTCAAAAGGTCGTGGGTTCGAATCCACCTTTAGACTACTGTGGTGAACCACTCCTAACACAAGCGTTTTAACCTTACCAGGAGTGGTTAAAGGGAATATTAGTGATGTTGATAAAATTCCTAACATTTTTTACAAAAAAAAAATACGTTGCAATTAAATGTCACAAAATCTATAATATCAATTTGATTCAATACGTTATATTCGCATAAATATAAGAAATTATGAAAAACAAGACTTTAGTACCGGGTCACTTTATATGCACTATATTTTGAACCCTATTTCGTAAGGCCTAGGGTTCTCCTGAACAGGGTAAGGGGCTGATGGCATTGCATTGACAGAGTGCACAGTGGACGTACTCATATTGCTCCTGCTACCATAAGGAGTACAACTGTTTGTGTTGACCAAATTCGTAGAACTTGACCTGTTTTCTGTTCCCATGCCCCCGGACATGTATACAGGTAGACTTGTGAAGTTGGGTGCGGAATTGGGGTCCGGGATGGGGTCTTTGGGTAAGCTGTGACTCATTGGGTGCACATATATGTTCCCTCTAGTTGTTATTTCCAAGGGTATGAGTCCAATGTATATTTCACTTTCGTCTTCCATGTCGTCGTTACAGCCCGATAGTTTAATTATTACCTGGAAAGAAAAGATGTATGGTTGTAAAAAGATGTATGGTTGTAAAAAGATGTATGGTTGTAAAAAGATGTATGGTTGTAAAAAGAGACGACTACTAAAAGTAATAATTTGCAGTGTTATATACATGCAGCATTAGCGCAGCGGGCACATCTACGTGATGTATCCACCACACAAGTAATACCTTCTACACATATTTAATAAGCGTAATGTCTCTCCTCGTCTGTGTGTGAGCTTTGACCGCCCATAATCACAGTACAAATAGACTTGAATACATCAGACGATAACAAGGATAGATCGTGTACTGTTTTAAACACAAAAATCATGCAAATTTTATTTTAATATACCGGGTGCTTCAAAAAAATGTATACACACTTTGAACTTCCATAGAAAATTTATTTACCGCTCTACAAAGTTAAATTTCAGGAAAATAGAAAGCTGAAAGTCCAATGTAAATGAAACATAAATAACAAATGTTAATACTGTTCAAATTGGTGACCTGCAGCATCAATACAATTCTGAGTACGAGTCACCACAGATTCTGTACATCGTATCAAAACGTCCAATGAGATTTCTCTACACACTGCTTGAATCTCATTCCAAAGAATGTCTAGGTTACGTGGTTTACGTTTGTACACCTCATCTTTTACTGTGCCCCACAAGAAGAAATCCAGTGGTGTAAGGTCTGGAGAGCGTGCTGGAAACTCGATTGGCCCCCTGCGTCCTATCCACTGGCCCGACAAATTTTGATCCAGGTAAGCTCGTACGTCCCTGTGATAGTGCGGCGGAGCACCATCTTGTTGAAAATAAAAATCATCATTACCGTATAATGCACGAATGGCAGGAAATATGGAATCAGCAAGCATTGTTAGGTAATTAACACCAGTTACAGTGCCTTCAAATCGAAAAGGTCCAATGAGTCCCTTGAAGACAAACCGCACCACACATTTATACCAGGCAAATTTACAGCTTTTTCAATTGTAATGTGAGGATTTTCTTCACCCCAGTAAACACAATTGTGCCTATTGACAGTTCCATTAAGTTTGAATTGGGCTTCATTCGACCAAATGATGCTACCCATAAATCCCGGTTCACGTATCCCGTATCACGTAATAACCTGCTTTCGTTCTTCAAAACTCAAACGTACGTCCCCCATGTTGATATTACAAATTCCAACTGATAATATAACATAGAGGGACTATTATGCTGGCACCTGGCGAAGAAATATAACATTAGCCTTGTAGAGCGGAAAAACTACAATAGTTTAAAGTGTGTATACATTTTTTTGAAGCACTCTGTATAATAATTATGCTGACCTAATATCAGGAAGATACTGCTACCTACCTATCTCTGACTTCAGTTTTCCTCTGTCGCCTCTTACAAAACAAATGGGATGATATGGTGACCCCATATCGTCCCATTTGTGTGATAGAGACATTCCATACATGTGAGTAAAACATATTGAGCATTTATCGAAATTGTCTGTTTGTCCATTGTTAGCTCGTGAGCTACCCCATGGGGTAACCACTTTTGGATTTGTGACGACAGGATTAATTCAAAACCTGACAATTAAAAAAATTCGATGACTATAGAAATAGTACATTACTTAGAATGTAAGTTAACTAGTGACTATCTTTGTTATAAAACCAAACCTAAGTAGCAATGTAATTCCGAACTGTCACAGTAAATTACAATCATTGTCATGTTCAAGATATTTAGTCCTGAAAGACTTTGGACTAGTTTACAAAAGTAAAAAATAAAAGAAAATACAGAACTTAATGGATTAGTGGCAGTGAGTGGGCCGGCCATATAACTCAAAGAAATGATAACCGATGTGGAAGAAATTTTCTCGAATAGTAGAAAAGTAACCTCGTACGACGGTAAGCGAAGTGTTGGCTATGACCCCACTAGATGGAGTGGCGACCTGGTAAGATATGCAGGAAGCCAATGAATGATGGGGGGTGTGTAGCTTTGGATTTGTGGTATATCTTGAGGTAGGCTTATGTACAGCAGTGGAATTGTAAAGGGCTGTAATGATGATGATGATAAAACTGAAAACTGTAATTAACTAACCTTAAAGAAATATCCCAAGTCAATTATGCCACAATTGTCCAGATGGGGTGCTATCATCTCCGGCACTGGCATTTCGAATGTGTAGACGCGCTTCGAGTTACCCATGATCGGGCCTTTCTTCATTGTGGCGAGGAGTTTCTCGGGTGGAGTGTACTCCGAAACTGGGTTACGGCTGTGATACCTTTCCTTCTGTTAGGAATACATGTCAAGCTAGTTTTGATTATTAATTAATATAATTTCTTATTTATTTAATTTGTTTTATTGCATTCCATAAAACAAAAAATACAAAGGGCAGACTTTTTTTATAGGATAGGGTGACAAACGAGCACACAGTCCACCTGATGGTAATTAGTTGCTGCGGCCCATACACATCTACATCTATCCTCGATTACGAATCAAAATGCAGATGCGTTGTCACCCGTGAGGACTAAGATGGAATGCCTCGTTTCCAGTAAAAAGTGTCTCCAGTCTCTACACTCACCATACGAAATACAGCAGCGTTAAGCTACTATTTCACGCTGGTATTCTGTGAGAGACTTTATACCTTGAGACATCTACCAGCCAACCCACAAAGTGGTGAGAATTTGATGTAGGTGTAGTAATATAGAATAAAAGAACACAAAACAAAAATTATAATTAACTACATGATATATACATTTTACAAATAAATAAACTATGCAAATATAGTCTATACATACAAATATAATTAGTACATACAAATGACTATGAAGATAATATGTCTGTATAGCAATACATATTACATGAATGAATCATGTAAAATGCGTTTTCTTTAATAGATGATTACGGACCAACTTTTTTAAAAACATACTTATTGGGTGCTTTTTTGATGTCATCCACTAATCTACACCGGAAAGTTAATGTTGTATTTAGACCAACTATAATGTTGGAGTAACTAACTAGAAAATTCTAAAACAAGCTATTTTAACATGCAAATAACAGCTAGTAAAATACTGAATAAAATCAGGCATTACTTTGTCAAAATCCATTATATTAATTATTTAAAAAAAATTAAGGTAATATTTGCATAATAAAATAAAATTATATACAATCCCTCTCACCACTATTACACTAGGAAAGACAAACATCATCATCATCATCACAGCCCTTCACAAGTCCACTGCTGTACATAGCCCTCCCCCCAAGGAATGCCACAAAGCACGGCCCTGAGCCACCTTCATCCGTCGACTTTCTCCATGTCTTACCAGGTCGTCACTCCATTTAGTGACGGGACGCGCTACACTTTGCCTGGCACTTTACGAGGCTGTCACTCGAGAACCTTTCTTCCTTATCAGTTATCGGTTCGTAGAGCTATATGGCTGGCCTATTGCCACTTCAGCTAACTATTCCGTAGGGCTATGTCGGTCACCCTAGTTCTAAAATTCTAAGGTCTCTAAACTCCGAACATAGCCCTCTCCATAGCTCGCTGAGCGACTTTGAACTTCCTCATACGGCCAGCAGTGAAGGACCACGTCTCAGATCTATAAGTCATCACTGGTAACAACCGTCGATAATACGCACTAAGCTTAGCGGTGGTGTTTAGATTAGTGGTGACGGGGATAGTGCGTGCAATTGAAGGAGGAGGGAGGTGCTCTTCAAACTAGGTAGGGCACATCATTTCATTTTACTGTGCTGATCTTAGCTAATCTATTTATAACATATTTAATATCAATATACAACAAGTAACTACATAACGCTACTATATTACCGTATTACTGACGCGAATTGTAGCCACAATGATTTGTTAAACTCACTGAAATGAAGAGCTGTGGGAATCAGATAGATTGATGTAGGTATAGTTATGATTGTAAATTATTTGACATAAAATTATATGAAACTACAAGTCTCACCATAATTAATTGGAAAATTATCTTAGATATCTCTGTGCTAGAGTTATTGTCTGCATTTATCGTGATGGGCATAGGTTGTCCAGGACAGTAGCCGGAGACAGGGAGCTTCACGCCGATTGAGATGGGCTGCGTACTGCAGCAACAACTATACATTTCTTCAAACTGCATTTCAATTGGTTGCTGAAAATTTCATACGAAGAGAATAGAATATAATAATTTTTTATCAATATAGATAACATGTAATTCTTATTGAAAGTATTTTTTTTTTACATTTTAATGCTATATTAATGTCGTCCAGACCGGTTAACGTCAAGTAGACTGTGCTCAGTTTTTCACACTTACTTCTATTATAACCAATTCTCTGACTCCTATGTCATGAGTCAACTAACCTGTGCATCCCCGCTCTCATCTTTATTCAGATCCAAAGGAGCAACAACTTCAAAAGTTCTTTCTAGTTCCTCTCTTAGTGGTGGTGCCTCTAAGTACGCGCTAATTTTGTATGTCACATTCCCTATAGGACTGGTAAAGGATGAAGGCACTGAGAAGGGTATCTGAAACTCGAATGGTATAGAATGGGAACCTTGATGCAGAATAGATGTACCTGTGGAAGAATTATTTTTTGATCAATTGTTACATAATTTACAGTAATGTTACAGTTTCCAAAGGTAAATACGGCAGATCTAATGATATACATATGACATTTTCGACGAATCAAATAGAAGGATAGATGAAAACATACGCACGCAAGCACGCACGTGGGCACGTACGTGCGTGATATAATATGTACATACATATACTGGATGACCTTTTTTACTGTCTGGAAAAAAATGTGAACGGAGCAGAAGAAAACAATAAATTTAGTAGGCATCTTTGACCTTGTCACTTCGCAGGGCTCAAGGGCAAAGTAATTGTTCAAACAAAATTTTTCAAATGTTTAATTCAAAATTTTTGCATCTATTTTTTATAAAATATCAATGCCATAGGCTTCTACTCCATTAACATGTTACACCCAATTTTTTTCCAGACGGTAAAAAAGGTCAGCCAATATATATAAGATGTATAAATGTAGATTTTGTATTACTTAATTATGTGTATAGTAAAATGGTTAGTAATATGTTGTTGTATTAGTTATAATTAACTTGACCTAATCCATACTAATATTATAAATGTGAAAGTGTGTTTGTTAGTTTGTTTGTTTGTCCTTTCACGTCGCAACAGAGCATCGGCATGGCATGATTTTTTGTATGGGGATAGTTCGGTGGCTGTAGAGTGACATAGGCTACTTTTTTCAGCGGAAAAACATATCATTCCCGTGGGAAAATCGAATATGTTGCAAAATTAAATTCAGCTAGGTGGCGCCACCGTGATTCTACAAGACGGACGACGGTACGACGGACGAACACAGAAGGTCAGAATATCTGGATTATTATGTCTTTTTACCAAAATTAAGATAATAATGTATGAATCAGTATTTTTCCACGCAGGGCCGGGAAGAGAGCGATAAAAAACATACAATTCACCAGCTGCATTTTCTTCAAACGTTTTGGTGCATTGTAATTCACAGAATAGGCGATAACCTCGCAGACGATATTAGGTAATCCGTTAATGCTCTGCATACCCCGCAAGGGTTACAGACGTGATTATAAGTATGGATCACAAATACTATCACCACCTGTCACGCTTTCACCCTTAACTATTACTTAACTGTGGTACAAACAGTTCTTAGTAAGCCTTATTAATAAGCCTTAGTAATATTTATTGAACGGAAATGAATACAGTTCTTATATGTGGTTATGAATGAATCGGTATTACAATAAGAAAAATTGTGCAAAATTTTAAGAAAAATATTTTTTGAGAGTTCTTATTAACTAACGTATACATAGTTTAAATTGATTCCGCTAGATGTCGTTACTAGGTTTTTAAAACGCGGTAACGAAATGTTTCCTGACATGTACTTAACTCCCGCCGTTGAGCCGCGCATCAACTTATAGTGCATGCGGTACCTATACGCTTAAATTGTTTCTATTTCGTAGCTTATTCGACTACCTGCTTTCGATTTCGGTTGTTTGTTATTTGCTTTGTGATTTGGTTAAGGTTGAATAGATTTATATTGGCTTTCATTTTCGGATTTGTGTATTTTCTTGGATCGGTTTTGTTGATTTGGTTGGTATTCCTTTTTACATATTTAGACTCTGGCTTTGATTTTGGATTTCGTTTATTTAGAATCGTGAATTGGTTTACGTTGTTTTAGGTTGTTTAGCAATATTTCAAAGGAATATTAATAGTATAGATAGTGTATACGGTACCTATACACTTACTTCTTTTTTCGCTGGTTATATTTATATTGACTACTGCTTTCGATTTCGGTTTTCTGCGATTTGTTTTGTGATTTGGTTTAAGTTGATTCGATTTTTTTTGGCTATCGTTTTCGGATTCGTGTTGTGTCTTGGATTGGTTTTGTTGTTTGGATTTTAAAAAATATTTAAAAGGAATATTTATTCCTTTTAGATATTTTGGATTTGCTTTTAAAAAAATATTTAAAAGGAAATTTAATTCCTTTTAGGTATTTTAACGTTTTTTTTTATAAATAGGTTTTTTGTTACTTCATAATGCCTCGCAAACGTAAGTCCAGCCTTTCAAGAGTATCTTCTCAAAGACAAGCGAAAAGATTAGCTCGATCGCTAGAATCTTTAGAAGATGCTTAACTGAGAAGGCAAGAACAAGCAGAGCGTCAGGCTGCTTTTAGAGCATCTGAGACACCTTCTCAACGTCAGTAAAGTCGTCTTGAACAGACAGAGCGTCAGGCTGCTTTAAGAGCTTCCGAAACACCTTCTCAAAGTCAGGAAAGACGTCTTGAACAGGCAGAACGTCAAGCTACTTTAAGAGCTTCTGAAACACCTTCTCAAAGTCAGCGAAGGCGTCTTGAACAGGCAGAGCGTCAAGCTACTTTAAGAGCTACTGAAACAACTGATCAAAGTCAGCAAAGGCGTCTTGACAGGAGGTCTCTACTAGAGCTACTGAACACCTCAAAGTCAGCAAAGGCGTCTCGAACAAGCGGAAAGTCAGGCCGCCTTAAGAGCCGCGGAAACACCTGATGAACACACAGACTCATTAAGCAAGCTGAACGTCAATCTACTATAAGGGCATCTAAAACACCAGAACAGACACAGGCGCGAAGAGATGCAAATGCACAGCTCCAAGCTGAACGTCGACAAAATTTTCAAAGAAACAATTGGTCGGTTTTTAATGACGCAGCATTCAATTATGATCCGTTGATTGATTATAAAAATCACAGGTTAGTTGTTATCGGACTGACGGACAAGGCGTGTCGATTTTGCAGCGCTTTAAAATGGAAAGATGAGACCGCAGGCATGTGCTGTTCCAATGGCAAAGTGTCTCTTCCGTTACTTGCGGAACCAGAAGAACCTTTGAAATCTCTCTTTTTATATGATGCTAATGAGTCACGGCGCTTTTTAAACAGGATACGGAAATATAACTCATGCTTTCAAATGACGTCCTTCGGAGTTGACCGGGAAATAATAATGCCGGGATTTTCGCCTACATTTACGGTCCAAGGGCAAATTTATCATAGAATAGGTTAACTTTTTCCAGCTGAACGCGAACAGCATAAATTTTTACAAGTATATTTTATGGGTGACGAAGAAATTGAGTTAGACCGTCGCTGCCAATTTATCCAGGGAGTTGAGAGAGACACAGTGTTCAAAATTCAAAGATTCTTGCATGAACGTAACATTTTAGTCAAAACATTTAAAACTGCTTTAGAAAACCTACCTGAAGAGGATTATAAAGCCGTCATTCACGCAGATCTCTGCACTACATGAACCTTTGATAAACGAAATAGCAGCCGCAATTAGTGGTGATCAATTTCCTTCACGAGACATTGTCTTGCGAGCACGTGATGATGTTGCAACGGGTAACCGCTACACACAAGTTTTATGACGCTCTGCAATACCCATTGATTTATTGCAAAGGACAAGAGGGTTATCATTTTCAAATTCCACTCATTAACCCGGTCACAAAGGAGCCTACTCCGAACAAAAAAGTATCCTGTATGGATTTTTATGCGTATCATATGATGTTGCGAGAAAATGATTTTAACCTCTTAGCCCGGTGTAGACAATTATTTCATCAATTTTTGGTAGACCTGTATGTGAAGGTAAAAGGAACGTCTCCGTTATATATCTTTAAATCAAAAAAAGCTGCGCGTTGAGTATTATATACATTTACAAGATGCAGTTTCTAGCGATGCCAATGTAAACCCCAGAGATTTAGGTAAAATGGTAATTCTGCCCTCATCATTTGTTAACAGTCCCCGCTACCTACATGAGTACACACAAGACGCATTCGCCTATGTACGAACTTACGGAAGACCTGATCATTTTGTTACTTTTACTTGCAATCCCACATGGAAAGAAATAACCGATGAGCTAATGCCGGGCCAAAAAAGTACTGACAGACAAGATTTAGTTGCTAGAGTATTTAGATTAAAAGTACAAAAATTAATGTATGTAATTAACAAAGGGAAATTTTGGAGAGGTGCAGTGCTTCATGTATTCAATTGAATGGCAAAAAAGAGGATTACCGCATGCCCACATTCTAATATGGTTTAAAGAGAAGTTGCGGCCCAGCCAAATAGACGACATAATAAGCGCCGAGATTCCGGATTCTGAGCAAGATAAAGAATTGTATGATACCATCGTCCGAAATATATGATTCACGGTCCATGTGGAGCACGAAATTCAATATCGCCATGTATGAAAGAAGAAAAATGTACAAAGAAATTCCCTAAACAGCTATAAAAAGAAACAGTGCACAATGACAATGGCTACCCTTCATACAGACGCAGAGCTCCCGAAGATGGTGGCAGGAAAGTTACAATCAAATCTCGCTCGGGAGACCTTAGATAACAGCTGGATTGTCCCGTATTCGCCAATTCTATGTAAAATGTTTAATGCCCACATTAATGTAGAAGCATGTAGCTCTGTCCGCGCAATCAAGTATATCTGTAAGTACATAAATAAAGGAAGCGACCAAGCAATATTTAATCTCAGGAGTTAAGGTGAGGCAAATCCCGTTAATGAAGTACAGACCTTTCAAGCAGGGCATTATGTCAGCAGTAACGAGGCATCGTGGCGTCTCCTTGGCTTCCCTTTACACGAAAGGCACCCAACAGTTACTCACCTTGCTGTGCACTTAGAAAATGGAGAGTGTGTATATTTCACCGAAAGAAATTTCCAAAAAAGAATTGCATCACCGCCAAAAACTACACTAACGGCCTTCTTTCAACTTTGTCAAACCGACCCCTTTGCAAAAACGTTGTTATGAAGTCCCCCACTATTATACTTGGAACACATCTAGGAAGGAGTGGAAACGCCGTATTCAAGGCGCGCCTGTTGCAAATTGGCCCGGTGTAAAGTCATCAGATGCCCTTGGTCGTGTGTATACCGTCCATGTAACTAATTTTGAATGTTTCTGTTTACGATTGCTATTTCGCATATTTTACATGGGACTTGTTTATTGATACAAACTTTATTTTGCCACATTTTTTTATTAGCTTGCTTTCTTGTAAGTATATTCGCGTTGAATTTAGTAATTGATTATAAACTAACTTTTTAATAAGTTAGAGACTTAATAGCTCAGAATCAAATGACATTGGAAGAATATGAAAAAAAAAGAATTATATACTTTTTAGTCCATCTTGAAAACGTGATATAATAAAAAAAATATACATACACTTGTTTAGCCTGAAAGTAATCATAAACTACTTTTTATAACAAAACTGTTTTTGTTTATAACAACCTTATCAGTAAAATAGTAATAATGTTGACAGTAACTGTTTAACAAGTAACAATTGACCAAGGTAAAACAATAAGCTAATTTATTTAAAAATAAATCATGTATCTTGAAATTAATTGTTTTAAAGACAACAACTGCACATGTCCAAACATTTAGACCCAGAACGATTACTTCTAGGCCATACAAATATTCGTATCCGCCGGGAATTAGAGACGTAATAAAATTCTATACCCCATATCATCTCATGGGTGTTGTAAGAGGAGACAGACGGTAAGGAAACAAGAGATGGGCATCATTACTCAAAAATAATAAAAAAACTGCAGTTGCCAACCAACTGCCAAGTGTGGCAACAATCTATTGAGGATGCTGTCCAACAGTAGACTTCATAAAGTGTAATAATGATGATAATGATAGTGTTGAAACAAATATGGTTCCATATTAATTTAAAAAAACCTTTAGCATTGTATCGAAAATACTTTACATCTATACAAGTCTACACAAGTCCAGTGTCACAGATCAGTATGATCTATTGTGATCACTGCTATAGTTCTGATAAGCCATATATCTACAAGTTGTATGAGTAGCTTAGCTGTAAGTATTTTAATTGCTTCTGGGCTAAGTACATAGTTTCCCAGATGAGTTCTATGTTTGTTCATTAAGGTTCTACAATAAATTGACATCCTACTGACATCCTTCATTGCTTATTGAGTTTTGTTATCCTCTCTCTTCGTAAATTAATATTCGAGTTTGAATATTTTTTGTATTATACATACATACATAAGCACTCATGCTTGTCACCCAGAGGGATAGGCAGAGACTACAGACTTCCATTTGGCACAATCCTAACACACCTCTCTCGCCTCCTCCACATCCATATTTTTTGTATTATACTTTAGCATAAAATTAAATTAGGTGCTTAATAAAATCTCTGTGTTACATTATTATTATTCATTAACATACCATTACCACCACATAAATGTTGCACAGTATTGAAGTATTCTTCATTTGCCCTGTACTCCACTTGAGTGTATCTTTTAACACCTGAATATATTTCCGTTTGAGGCTCAGTCCACAACACACTTGCTCCTCCATGGTAAACAACATTGATAGCTGTAAGAAAATGGTAATGGCAGTTTTACTTTGAATAATGAAAAGAAATATACAATTCTATGTAACTGAAATCACTTACCACCAGTGCCCTAATATTTATTTATTATTATAAATCTTTTTTTCTGTAGCATTGGGTGACAAACAAGCACACAGTCCACCTGATGGTAAGTGGATGCTGTGGCCCCTAGACATCCACATTTATCCTCAATTAAGAATCAAAATGCAAATGCATTGTCACCCCTGAGGACTGAGATGGAATGCCTGGATTCCAGTAAAAAGGTTTTCTACACTCACCAAATGAAACACAGCAGTATTATGCTGCTATTTTATGCTGGTGTTCTGTGAGAGCATGGTCCTGACCTGGTCAAGCTCACCCATTTAGGCTACAACTATAATACAGCTGCAGCGTGGCTCTACCACATAAAAAAATCTAATATCTATATAATACATATTTACCTTTCTACAAATTTCTGTTTAACCATTTACAAAATTATTATGGTGGAAAATTTAGAAAATTGTAGGATTGTACCTTTAGTTCTACTATCCTAATAATACTATAAATCTTAAAGTTTGTATGGATATTCAGATGCATGTTGCATCCACCATGTAGTAGTGGCGGTGTAAGAATATCCACTGCCCCATATCATCTCATGGGTGTCATAAAAGGCCACAGAGGGAACCAAATCAGATGGGCCGCAGTGTCCTTTTAATAAAAACATAAAATAAAAAATGGCAGTTGCCAACCCGCTTGCCAAGCGTGGCAACTATAGCAAATATTCCCCCTACGAGGCAATTTAAAGGGGGAGACCTATGATCATAAATGGATTTTAGTAGGTTGTAACAGTAACAGTTGGCAATACTAAAGATGACCAACCAGCATAGGACAGAGGCTACATAATTTGTAAATAAAATTTTAGTCTATCCCAAATTACAGTTTTTTTTAATCCATGTTGCTACAACTTCACCAATAAAATTTATTTTCTTGACATGCTCTGCATTAACTACTAAACTATAAAATGTAAGTACTAACATCAAACAATATTTAAAATGCTTTTAACACTGGTTATAAGAAAAACCTCTGCCCTAGGAAAAACTAGCATGCAGGATTCTTTTTTTTAAACGTGACAAAGTTAACAATGTAATAAAATTAATTATATATTAGAAACATAGCAGTGATCTCCTCATTTCCAGGGGTTCAATCATGTATTATTTAATGTTATAATAAACCTTAATATACAAGCCTTTGTTTATTAAAAAAATTAAACTTTTTGATAGATAGGCCTTGCATGTTTTCTAGTACTATTGTAAGAGCATATACTTTAACCCATGATGGAATTACTAGCTCATTTGAGTTGAGTAACTGATATTACTAGCTTGTGTTAGTTCCTAGTATTTACAGAATGTAAATCACCATGTTAAATATACTGAGAGTTATTATCTATTTATGTTAAAAATTATTCAAATTAAAATTTTGTTCTCAATTTATTTAAGGAAGAGACTGCTCATACCATGCATTCTTATTATACCAAACAACCAACAAAATAATTAAAGTAATAAAATATTTGTCGCCTTTTAATTAAATGCTAGTTTTAAGCAGCAGGCAAATGCAGTGTCTAATATGAAACCAATATTTGGGGTCACCATTTCTAAAGCTGAGCCATAATGTTCAGTTAGTAATATTGAAGTATTTCATAAGCAATCAGTATTGTTAGTTTGTTTTAAATTAAGCCAATAAATACCTGTAAATGTCAATGATTGATTTAATTCGAACTCAATTTTTCCTGATATCACTTGACCAGAATAATAAATACCCCGAGGACCATCTAAGGATATTCTACTATTTTTAAATCCCTCACTGTTTAGATTCATTTTTGGAAATACTGCTATGACTGTATACTAAATAGGAAAAGTTACAAATTAGCAGCGAGTAATATTTATTTTATTTATCAACATAAGACAACACATTATAAGATAAAATATATAAACAAGAATACAAAATATAAACAATTTATTAAGGAAAATATATATGTATCTAACACTCACACACTAAAGAAATGTATTAAATTAATTATAATATATGAAGAGAAGTTATTAAAAAATATAATTATAATAAATTATTAATTTGTTGTAATTGCTACGCACTGACTTAGAAGCACCTCCTCCTGCTCCTCCTTTCAGTATTTTTTTTAAATATGGCAACCTAACAATTACTGCCAACCTCCAGTCAATAAAAATGCTTGTAACTAGAAATGAAACGACGGACAATCTACAGAGAAACTACGATTCTGATAAAAACCGAAATCATAATGTTAAGAACCATAGAATACAATAATAATGAATCATGAAATGACTTGTACTGAAGTATATTAAATAAATGATGGATGTTAGGTTGAATTAAAATAATACTAAACTCAATACCACATTTAAAATAATAAGTATTACTAAATAAAGACGATTGATTGCTAAATAATGAATAAAATTTTATAACCTAATATTATTTAAATCTAAAAATTCCATAAGACAATTGAAAACATTTTTACTTTTTTTAGAAAAAATTAAAAGAGAAGAAATTTCTGTAGGAAGAGGAATTTCAAGATTTACCAAAGTGTTAACTTTGGTAAATCTTGAAATTCCTAATTAAGTATGATCATATAAAGGACACGAGAAGAAAATATGGTTGAGGTCACCAATATCCAAACCACATTCACATATTGAAGAATTTTTAATATGAAGCCTAGCAAGGTGAACCGAATTACAGCAGTGACCCAAGCGCATTCTACATAACATTGATGTATGTTTCTTATTTAAGGATAATTTATAAAACCAAGGCCTAGAAGGAATGATGGGTTGAATTTTGGCATAGTGACAGCCTTTTGTCGTTTTGGTTTTGTTCCAATGTTTTGACCATCTATCTCTATATACTAATTTCGTAGTTCTTATAAGGTCATAGCAATAATTTTTAAATAAGAAAGCGTAGACAGAGAATCCTATAGACTCCGCCATAGCGTGTCGCAGAAAGGGACAAAAGTAAATACGTCACTATATTTAGGGTTACAAGTGTGAGGAAAAATTTACCCCACAACTAGCTATAAAATTAGAAATTAGTACGTGAAGTAAGCCTGAAATGGAACACTGCTATTAACGATTATCATTGATATGTATTGTAGTTGATGGAGAGCTAAGTGGACTGTATTTGACTAATTATTTATTATAATTTCTGTGGTGAAGAAAGAAGAAACTAAAAAATTGTGATATCTGTCTGACTAATAAACTTAAAGAAACTATTGTGTAATGAATGAGAGCTTAGTGGGCTGTATTTATGTAGGTTGTGTTTTAATATTGAAGAAAGAAGATACTGAACTAACTATTACCAGCCCTCTGTCACTCTTGCTACCTGCGTGAAATAATTACCTACAATCGCTAGGCACCCAGGGTAACATACGCAGTCGGGGCTAGCGCGTTGTAGGCGATCGAATGTTTGTTTTGAGTTTTTTAACGTAACATAAACACTCACGCCTGTCACCCAGAGGGGTAGGCAGAGACTACGGACTTCCATTTGGCACGATCCTTACATACCTCTTTCGCCTCCTTTACATCCATATATCTACGCATACATGCTCGTCGGTTAAGGGTACTTCTAACGTGGCCCATTTTCAAAATATCGCCAATTTGGTCGATAAACTTTTTTTAACGGTGTTTACGTAATTAGTTTTTTTTTGTAAATACTTGTTGAAATAGTCTTTGTTTAGTGTTATTTATATTATTTTACCTATTTGATAATTTTTAATGGAAAAACGTCGCTCCTACTATAATTGTTGCGTGGATGTATGCCAAATGCCCAAAAAAAGGTTTCAGATATATCATTCTTAAAATTACCGAAGGATTTCAGAAACAAGTTATTAAAGGTGAATTTATTTCTTTTTTTTTTTTTTGTTAGATAGGTACTGATAGTAAAAAAAGAATTAAGTAATAACACAGTCTATAAATCCATACAGTCGTCCGACTAAGACGTCTAGATGGGGCAATCGTGCGGGGTGTGTGGGGTGAGACGCGGGAAGGACGAGCCCGATCTGCTTATGCCAACCATTTTTATACAAACTTAGTTCAACAAAGTTTTAGAACTTTGATTCAAAGCTACCACATAGTTCACCAGACTTACACATTTTGTTCCATCCCATTGGACGTGCCTCCTTATAGCCATCTCATCCATGCTAACTGCACATGTATTGTGCAGTTAGCATGGATGAGATGGCTATAAGGAGTTCGGTTTTTTTGTTCTTTGTCACTAATTTAATGCATTCTAATGATTCTTTTTGTACCATATGGTAAGTGTGGATGGAAGAGGCAGACAAGTATTAAATTGTTGTCGTACATACGTATAAGCCCGAGGACTTATAAATTGCAAGCAAATAGTAAATTTATGAAATCCTTTTCAATTTGACGACAAAGTTTAAAAGAAAGGAAGCGTTTTAGTATTATGTAAGCAAGCTCGGGGCTTTAAATTTTTTCTTACCTTTGCTGACAAATGGAGCGGGTGGGGGGGACATATATTAAAAATCTTACGTAAAATAAAGAAATATAAAACAATAAAAATATTAATACAACAAAATTTATAAATAAAATTAATAATAGGTACTATTTTTATTATTTCTAGTTAGTATACTGAATGAATATCTTTTCATGTTTTTTACCAAAAATAAATCGATGACTCTTCCGATACTCCATGTCCATTTTTTCCTTTTTATTATTTACTAAAATTATATATAAGATTTAAAGTTTTTTCAACTCTTAAATTTAATAACCAGTATTTTAGAGACGGAAAAAATGTATAAAACATTATATTAAAGTAAAACAATTGTGAAGTAAATAAATTATTAATGTTATACATACTGTATTTTTACTCTTTCTTGACAGCCCTAAGTAACCTCGGAAAAACAGCCGTGATGTGAGAATGAGAAAAGGTGCAAAGTAATACTTAATAATTAAAGCTATTAAACGTCGGCAAGCTGTCAACTCAACATGAAAAGAGTGAAACTTCTCTACGTAGTACTATTATTTATTCTGTGCCCAGGGTAACATACGCAGATAGATATTATATTATTTTAACTATTTGATAAATTGTAGCGGAAAAACGTCGTTCCTACTACAATTTTTACGTGGATGGATGCTAAATGCCCAAAAAAAGGTTCAGATATATCATTCCTTAAAATTACCGAAGGATTTTAGAAAGGAGTTATGAAAGGTGAATTTATTTCATTATTTTGTTAGGTAGGTACTTATAGCAAAAAAGAATTAAGTAATAATTTATCTACACAAGTAATACGTACTTTATTACAAAACTTAGTTGAAATTTACTTCACTATCCAAGTATCTACATACTTACATACCTATATATTATGTCTTTTGTAATTAAAATATTTTAAGTTATAATAACACAAAACACTGAAATTAAAACTTTGTTTCATTCTCATTCTCTGTCTACGTAAGAAAGTATCTCCACAGACTATAGCTTGTTTAGCAAGTTTGTCAGCATATTCATTACCAGATATACCAATATGACTCGGAATCCAAACGAGAGAAATGTTGATGTTTTGGAATTGGTATAAGAATGGAAGTTTCTTAATTTCAAATATCAAAGGATTGCGGTAAATGTCATAGAAAGGATTGCATAACAATGCTTGTAAAGAACTAAGAGAATCTGACAATATCACGCTTGATTTTAATTTAAAAAGATAGCAATATTTTATTGATTGTAAAATGGCTAACATTCCTCCAGTAAAAACTGAAGATTCGGGAGAACTTTTCATTTTTTGAACTATTCTCCAATTTTGATGGTATATTGCATATCATCTTTTGAGTTAATCTTAGAAGCATCCGTAAAAATATAATGACAATCTGGGAAATTATTGTCCAACGTAAATACAAATTTTTTATTTGATTCAATAGAAAATTTATTTAAATCCTATATCTAATATAACATTGGGTTTGAAAAGTGCAACTTCAAACGAATTGGAGAAAAGAGGCAGAGTCGCCGACCTATAAATAGGATCTAGTAAGGAATTATAATGTTCATAGCTTTTAACTAGGTTAGGTGTTTCTTTATTACGCCAGTATTTTCCTGAATTAATTGAAATGTACTGAGAAAGCAAACGAATTTTTGGGAGTAATGGATGGTTTGAAAATTGAAGAACTAATAAAAAAAGGAATCCGATAAATATTGTCGTCTAATAAAAAGGGAAGGATCACCGCATTCAATCTGCAAGGCATTGATAGGCGATGAATTCGTAGCGCCTATAATTAATCTTAAAGACTTGTGTTAAATGATATCTAATATTTTTAATCCTTTTTTACTAGCGGGTTCAAGAAGAAATGAGGCGTAATCTAATCGACTTCTTATAATTGCATTATAAATTAATTTTAAAGAATATGGATGAGCGCTCCACCATACCCCGCACAAAGCTCTAAGAATGTTTATATTTTTTTCGCATTTTTTTGGGTATAAATAATATGAAGCATGCCGGATAATTTATTATCAAGAATTACACCAAGGAATTTAACTTGTTGGATATTTACGAGCGGATAATCAAAAAAGGCGAACTTGGATTTCAGGTAAAACTCTTTTGCGCGAAAAAATTACTGTATTACTTTTATATGGGGAAAGTTCTAGTCCATGATCACCTAACCAAGAGGCCATAGAGAGATCTTGTTCTATCGCATTAGCACAGGATTCTATACATTTATCATTAAGGACGCATTTGCAAATCAACCAAAATTAGGGTGTTTTTCGGTAGATTTTGTGACAAAACTAAACCAAATCAAATATAAGTAAAAACTACCATGTATAGATCAGTTCTTCATCTGCAAACATA